ATATGGGTGTTGAACCCGGCTCTGACTCTCATTATGCTCGGGGAATCTTCTCCTAACGTCAGTCGTCTGAAACCTCCCCTAGTATGATGAGAGTAAGACCCGGGTTCAACACCCATATGATTCAGATGTTTCCAACGGACCGGGGCTCTGACAACCGTGGTTGGTTGTAGTAAGGTCACTGTTTCCGAACACAGTGTCCTCCGCCTTGTTTATGCTATCAAACTTACAAGTTGGTTGTTCCAACTCTATGCAGAGGGAGCAGGAAATGGTGCTTTCTTTCAGGGTTGGCGAGTGGAAGGTCTGACATGCTCATCGTGTGCTAAGGATGGCAGTCAAGAGTCATTCAAGTTCGGCAGGAAACGTGTGTTCCTCGCTGGAACAACCAACTTTATCACAAATGCAGAGGTTAATATGAACTTGACGCGAAAGTGGATCTCGTGTTATTTAGTTCGCATTTTGGAACACAACGCGAGTGACCTGCAGCTCACGTCTAAATTTGGAGTTTACGCCAAACTTGACGTGAAATTGCGCATCACGTCGGAAATACCGTGCATCTTAACCGCTTGGTTACCGCCGAAGTAGCAAATTCTTAGTTAGTTTTGTTGTCCTTCACGCCGACGCGCGACTATTTGTTGGAGGTGACAGCGTTGTCAATAGGTGGTAACTCTCAACATCTTTCTAGCATAAATCCAAGATCAATTTTTGCTCACGCTGCTACCTGAAGACGACTCTGTTGTGAATGTTTAATTGCCGCCCAAAACACGGACTCAGTGCCACACTACATCATGACGCTTCCACTTTCTTTATCAAAATATAAATAGAGCATCGGTTCAAGTCGGTATCCTTAAATCACGTTCCAATTTTCTTCTTTCTTCCCCAATTATATTTCCAATTGTTCAAATTGATTCGTAGTCCAAGAGCGCAATATATTCCATTATTACTTGGCACGTGATTGTTACCTGACGTCCAGCGTATCAGCACCTTTCCCGTTGTGCATAGCAACATGCGATATCGCATGCTACTTTCCGGCACGCTGCGGAAATTTGATACTCACCATGTTGCTACCAGTTTGTGAAATCCTATTTTAGCTGGATGTAGGAAGTTGTAGGAATGAACGGGAAGGGAGGGTTTTGAGCTTTGCTTTCAGGAAGAAAAACTGTGGTATAGACTTGCTAGCGTTCTTGTGTTCGCGGGCAGTTTGGCAAGAGGTGTTAACAATAGCAATGTCCAAGCATCTTCAAATCGTTTTGTGTTCGTGTAACAACAATGACACGAAAGTACTTACCCAAAATGACTGTGTTCCGGAGGCGATGGGAAAAGTCACGATTGGATGGTGATCACATTCACGAAACAGCAAAAGCATCCTTCGCACCCTTCTTTCAAAACTGTATGTTGGCATAAGGCTGAAGGATAGGCATTTTTCCGTCCGAGCTTGCTGTGTTTGAGGGCAGTTATCCGACGGAGTTTCCTCACAAGTTGCCAGTAGGACAACTAGAGGATGGCAAATTCCTGCAAACCGTATGTATTGGCTCTTTGGCTGCGATTGGCTATGACGATCTGCAAACGCTTCTTTTGCACCAATGTCAATTTTGACCCGTTTCTAGAGACTCAAATAATATATAAATCAAAGGTTGCTCTAAGCCACATCTTTGAGGGTTACCACAAAGAATCTTTGAGAGTTTTAAATGCTTTTCATTAGGGGTGAGGGGACAATTTTGCTAGTTCTGCATCTTGATCAGATTCACCATGCTTTTAGCCTGCTCGCAAACGTCCATTAATCTGCTCAATATTCTCCTCTCTTGTACGAAAATCATATCAACGTATACATGAGTAGTATAATAGCGAGAGTTCCCAGATTGCCTAGAGTGCTCAACACCACAAGGATGGAGCATTACCACAAAAGGCAGAAGAGAATAGAGACGGCTGGCTCGGTCGTTGTCCTACCGGTGCGTTTCATGCACATGGCAAAGCTCAGACAACTGAGCTTTGCTATGTTTATAAATGACTAGTATGTGTCGGGTGGGTTCGGAGTAGGCACATGGCCCAGCCCGAAAATATGGGGTACTATACAAGCCCATGTAATTCCACGTTAACATGGACACATGGACATGCATATCCACGTGGATACATGCATGCATGGACATTTATAAGAAATGTATAAAACAAAAAATAAGAGGATGTAAAAAAGAGAAGAAACACATAAGAACGAGTTATGCACCAAATATCTAATATGTTTATTCTCTTTTTTTTGTACATTTATTACTGGCTCAGTATCCGATTTTAAATAAGAGGACGGGAAAGTGTTTGAAAACATTTGTCCGTCCTCGTATTGTTTAAACTAGCTCTGCCTCTCGGTATTGAGCACTTTCCTGAGCAGCCTGGAACCTCTCTGGTTTATAAGACACTTATGCATGGACACGTGGACATGTGTATCCACGCGCCGTACTTTCTGGTGGCGCTACGAAAGTTTGCAACGAAAATCCCCAGTATGGTCACATAATTGGCCAATGCATGGCTGAGGAAACACCTCCTCGTTGAGGTGACGTTTGGCAGCATAGTAGTGCAGCAAATGGCATGTCGGATATTCTAATTTTCCCAAACCCTGCAGTACTGGGCCAAGCTCGCCAATATTTGACCAATGGTATACATGCTTGCAAGAAACTGGCGGCTTCTTTATAGATGTTGCCTTTAATTTACTTCACCATACATATAGGTACAGGCATTGCTGGCTTCTTGCTCTGGATCATATAAGATGCCACAGCTTCTAGGCTATGATTAGATCCGCCCGATAGTTTTGTGCCAGGATAATATTATTATATCACATGGTACGCCATTCTTTGCAGCTCACCAGCATCGCCCTTTGCATACTTTTACCAACTGGCATTAATGCGCTGCTAATGGGCTTCTTTGTCCTAGCTTCTCTCCTTTCCTGTATCATGACGTGAAAATACAGGATGGGTAAATGGAAAAATGCGCTGAGCAAACTGAATTTTCTCAAAAAGCTCTGGCCACGTGGCTAGTCCCATAGGCTCGATCCAGGGCGATAACAGCCTTGAAGGCACAACGTGCAATGCTGTGTACCTACAGAATGACTGAAGATGAGGGAAGCTATAGTGTATATTTAAATGTCTACAATAAACAGGTACATGTACGCGTGTGTCCCACCGGTGCTCAGGTATGATACCAATTAGGCAATACAGTTTGAATAAACCCATTCACAATATTGTGCTCGGATACTGAACCAATCATACAATGAAAAGTACAGTGGTGGCAACTGAAATCCGACCCCTGAGCGGTGCGCTCAGCTGATCAGGGGTCGGATTTCAGATGCCAGCACTGTACATGAGAACACATGAGTACGAGTTATGAAGCAAATGAAGTAACTGTTCACCAATGCAACAGTAACACGATACACGTCTACGGTCATGTAGGATCGAAGCACGAAGAGTGCAATTAGATAGTAGCAACTGGTTCTTCACAATTCGCAAAGATAGCCTTCGTATTTATCTATGATATTTCCGATCCACCCAAGAATCTCAGCCAACAACACGTTTCATTGACCACAGGTACGCCACCGACATGAGGGTCAAAAGTGTGGATGAAGATCCAAAACCTATGCAAAGCGCCAGTTATTCACGGCGAGAAAATCCAATGTTCCCCTACTCCTCTCCTAAATGCACTGGACAGACTATGGTTAGTTAACAATCTAGGGCAGAAAAGCGAGATATTGGGGTAGGTGTGAAGCTCACATGATGGAGAGGGATACAGGGCCATTGTATTATTGAAAGGTCTAATGGCGCCGCTCACGATTCTATAGCTACTCTCCAGTTTTAGAGAAAAACATTTCCACACGTAATTGCTGCTCTACAGTTATTCATAAGAACTATACTCTCCCAAACCCAACAGAATAGGGCTTGAAGCTTCTATCTAACAGTAGGCCTAAAGGCATAACCAATGCTGGCTTTTGGATCTACATGAACCGTTACTGTTACGTGGATGCATGCATGTTCTTGTCATTCGTATTTTGTTGACCCAAACGCCAGACAGATTGGCTGGACCTGGTCTTCCTGGTCCTGGAAACACTACAGTTACAGAAAGACATCACACGTGCGTGCAACACCAACACAAGTGGCTTATCCACCACGCACGACAATGAGCAATGCGGGTCCAACGTGACCCAGCAATTGTAATCTGTCTGTCTGTGTGTGTGTCTAATCTTCCACCAAAATCAATTTCAAGTCATGAAATGAAAATAAGACCTCAGTGGACATATATTAGAACTCTCATGGTACACGTCCTTTGAGCTCTGCACGCCATATGCACACTGCAATCAAATTCAGGATAAATACTGAAGATTATGAATCCTTATTTAAGGTATAAAGAGTACAATCTCACTTACTGATCCTAGCTGTGTAATGAAATATAAACTTTTTGCTCTCGCAAATCAAATACCTCATCAACATATCTCTCAATGAAAACAGAAAGCCTAACAGAAAATCTTTATCTCCTCTAAATTTAGTGAAAATGATATCCAGCCCCAATAACATGTGCCAAGGTAATGAAGGAAAAACGAAAAGATAGGCCGCCATCGGACATGAAATATAGCTATCATGATGTACATAATAATGTTAATACACGTCTTTTGAGTTCTGGACATAATAACCATACTGCAATGAATTTTGGATGTACATCCAAGATAACTAAGCCTAGCTGTGTAATAAAATAGAAACTTTCTGTTCTCGCAAATGAAATACCTTACCAACATATCTCTCAATGAAAGCAGAAAGCCTAACAGAAATCCTTAATCTCCTCTAAATTAATCGAAGGGTTACACCGCACAGAGAGGCATGTATTCCGGTTTTCATTAATGACAGTCTCCAGTCCCTATAACATTATACGTAGGTAAGTATACAAGAACCAAAAGTAGTGACAAAAATCTCAAATAGCTTTCTTAAATGTCCTTGCTTGCCATAAATAGAAATGAAGCAAACCCGACATGCATAGATAAAACAGCACCTAATATAGCGATTGGATATGAACGTGAGAAAAATTTCTCGGATGAACAAATTTAAAGCAAACATCTGCATGTGTTTTACATACCTAATTTTAGCAATAGAATGCGTGATTCTCGAGGAATTGTATGAAGAGAGAAGGGCTGCTGTCCACATAAACTAAGAAATGGTCAGCACAAAATGTAGTTACACTGATAGTTGGAAAATGCATGCGTAGGAAAAATAGCGTACAAACCTGGTGTACATCTTACATACTAAGTTGGTTCCACTCTTCATGCAACACACTGGTTCGATGGTTCAGCAGCGTTAGCAGGGGACTTCACTCTGATATCTCGGGCTGTGACGCTGAGGGCTAGAGTTAGCCTTGTTGATCCTCGTTCCTTCAAATATTATCAAAAGAGCAGAGTAAACAGATAATAGGAGGCATCTAAAGATACATGTACCGGAACTAGAGATACACTATAGCATGATATGTCGGTCACATTAATACAAACGCAGTGATCAAATGAGCTCGATCTCATCAAACACCCTTCTATTATCCTGTATGGTTAATACTGATATTTGACCGCTTAAGACCGATTCACAAAACAAATTTCTGCCACTCGACACGCGATTTGCGACTGCTGCGACAAGAAACTGCCTGTTATGAGCTGTTGCATACAGCTCGCAAGGTGCCTGTCGCAGAAGTTGAAGAAAGTTCAAATTCTGCGACATACAACGCACAACATACACATATGGAGTGGTGAGAACGAAATAACTGCTCCATCCACTGCATTTAAAGTTTCTTGACAGCACGTGCAGTAGAGTATGCACTAAATCTACCCTATAAACCAAGTGCTTCCTCAGGATTATGGGAGTATTCAGGAGCTTTCCGTATACTCATCATAGAATTTGTTCCAGCCAAACTACATACATTGTATGTACTGTGGCCGACTTCATTCTATTTGCCAATATCTACAACTTGGAGTCACGTTGTTGATGTAAATGAGGTTGGGCAGAAAGCACATATTGTGGAGGTGAAACAACCTCATTGCTTTCTCCACAATCCAAAAATTAGGACTTTTCTTGAGCTATCAGTTCCAGTAAAATGAGCACTGAGGAATCGGGTGAGACCGAAAGGGTGCAAAACGTTTTTTCGAAAAGTAGATCAACTCATTGTTTTGAATGGCGCTTGCTTTACTAAGCCAAATATTTTTAGCATACAGTCACCGTAGAACGCCGAATATCCAGACGTCAACTATCTGGGTGATCAATTATCCTATTCGCCTAGCCGGGCTGGACTATAGAAGGCTTTATAATTATTGTTAGAAATCAGACGGTGAGCCTGGGAAAACATTGTAACCTGGAAAAATGTGGGCACACGTTCTGCGATCGAGGTCACTAACTCAACAGTCAACCAGATTTTAAACAGTCAGACGTGCACAGTCTAGCACAAACACTGACAAGGAGTACTGAGACATTCCACGGCACGAAAGTCAGCTTGAGCACTGCTCGATAGCGCTAATCAACGGTCTTCTGACTTGGAAGGCTCATGCATTAACAATTCTGGTTTAGCTGGTGGACACGATCGCATAACTTGTGCCCACATTTTCCGTGTTAAAATATAGTGAGGAAAATGTTTCAGAGCAGACTCGCTCTCTGCCCATTCACTCTGCGATCTCGAACTCATTCCAAAGTTTTTGTACAGTGCTGCATGGATGCAAATTCCGTTACTTCGCATTAATAGGATTTTCAGAGCATGACTAAGCTGTTGTTTTCCACTAGTTTCCACGCATGGTAATTCTGAAGTAGTGGACATAGTATGGCTGAGGATCTATCTAATGCCGATCTTGCCATCCTCGGCTTTGACGAACTTCGTGACCTGGCCAAGAAAAATGAAATCTCGTTCACCAGCAATATGAGCCAAGGATTATTTTATACAAAAGACCAAGGAACTACGGAAGGCTGCTGGCGTGCACATTCAAGATGTGCTAGAGCGTTTACCCAGATAGTCGCAGATTGTCAGTACCGTCGGTCAGTGTCCTGCAATGTTATCGCATGAGCTGATTGTTTAGTAACTGGTAGTGTTAGAGAACAGTATAGCGTAACTTGTAGTTCCTTGGTCCTTTCTAGTTTGTGTAATTTGGACTTCACGGAGAATTTCAAAGTGTTAGGAAAATAGAGGCCGCATGCCTCGTACTGCTCTTTTCTCTCCGAAACTCGACACTTGGAAGCCAGATAAGAAAGAAGGAAAATCATTAGTCACACCACCGGGACTTGTACCAGTGACCTTGCTATTCACGAGCAATGCTCTAACCAACTGAGCTACAGTATGACTCTTATCTACAGTGATGGCAAATCTGTCATTCTTCGATCAATCAATATCTGGCTTGCATCGTACTGGCAACTCACACTAATCAAGAGGTCCCTCTTGAAATCTTGGGGAGTGCATTAAACTATGTCGACTGCGAGCAAACACAAATTACACTTTCCAATTTGGACTTCGTTGAGAATTTCAAAGTGGTAGGAAATTAGAGGCCACATGCTCATGAATTTTTATATTGGTATTATTCCCATTAACAGTCCCGTCATCCTTGTCAACTCCACCCCTATCCACATCACAACCCAATTTCGTGGAAATCCATTCCAGAACAATGCATCCCATCAGCTTTGAGCATTACATGCTCCTGCTCCGTGCATCCACCTGGTTTATGATATCTCAACCCCCCCCCCCTCCTATTTTCACTGAATGTTTTGCATTTTGCCCCCAGTTGATTTCTATTTAATTCAAGTAACTGTTTCTGGCTGGTATTAGATCTATCGCACTTTTTAAATTTCCTTTCTGGTTAAATTAAATGGAAACATGGAAAACGGTGTGGAACAAGTTCTATTTTAGAGTTCGCGAACTAGACCAGATTCTGCACAGTCAGACGTGCACAAAGTAGCACCAGACTGATAATGAGCTCTGAAATACTCCACGGCAAGGAAGTTAGAAAGAGCCGAAAAACTAACAAACTCTTGCGCATAATTTGTGCCACACCGTTTCAACCTTGATAACGATACTCAACTGTGCTCCACTGTCCAAAGAGTCCTCAATGCCCATAGATATCAGAGGCTTCTACACGTATCCACAACTATCAGCCACCAGGTTTCCTGATGATCGTGGAAACTTGGACTTGCACTACAGCTTCCAATCTCTCTGTCTTGTGGAACGATAAAAACCGAAATGGTATTGGTATTGATTAAGAGAGCGTGTCCGAGAATACCAAAGTATGTGTGCAAATGGATCTCTCCGATTTCGCTCAAAATTTGCAGGTAGGTTCCCATTGGGGTGTGGATCGATTGTGCAAAGCCCTTTAAAAAAGTTTCTGAAGGGAACCTTGAAATTTGCATACCCTCAAAAATGGCTGAAATATCACATTATTTATGGGTCTTGAAACGAGTCACGCCACAGCGTATACGAACAAGCTATGAACAAAACTCCATGAAGCCAACATTGCCTCACCTTGGAAGTGCTCCTGGGGCAGTACCGCTTAGCCACGCCAGCATCCCAGAAGACGAGGTCCATCACCCCCTGACGCCACAAATGATCGTCTTGAAAATAGCCAATTTACAAGCGCTGGCAAAACAGCCAGCTACGTCGTCAATTGGCCAGAACTATACACCGGCAGATAGTAGAACACCTCTTCTAGCGCTGAGGACATGTCCCCCATCTTTCTTTTGGGGTTTCCTTGAATTAAACTTTTTTGAATTTTTCCACTCGACCATGCTGAAATACGGCCAAAGTCATACCTGCGCAGGAAAGCTCGCCCCTCCGCGACGTCTCCACCGCAATTTTTACTTCAACACTGCTCCCAAGGCCGCAGAACAAAGTGTATTGTTGGCTCTGACAAGGAAAAGCAGCGGTGATCACTTGTCACTCCAAACGACAAGCTTCTTCTTGCGCCACCAATAATTTTTTGTGCGACTGTTGATGCAAAGTGACTGAAGGCATGAGCGCAATTCTTGAATTTTACTACGAGAGGCATGGTGAAATCACGTGCCTTGTGACGCAAGAATGCCAGGCCGCGTGAATCACGGCTCACGAGATTTCAGAGTCACCTTCGTCAAGTGCGCTTGTTACTCCCCTTGAACGCCCGTTGGTCTGGAAGTGATCACACTTGTGTTGTTACTGCACTCAAGAACACGCTGACCGTGTTGTAGGCCTACTAACAGGGACTTTCCCTGCCCGTGTAGGTCGAAGACCAATGAAATGTTGATGAAATCACATTCTTTTTGTATAGGATGTTGCACGGTTCTGAGGGGATTATTTTTCAAATCCCCTAGGCGCGCAGCGCTGCGGGGATTATGAAAAATAATTCTCGCGGACATTGTGCAATATCCTGAATCGACCACCCTTTTCAGGAGATCAGTGTGGTACACGTTTTGTGTGCTGTTTTGTGTGCTGTTTTGTGTGTTGCTTGACTTTTTCAAAGACCGGTACTACCATGTTGTTTTTTCTACGTGATTTCATGCTGGTCAAGTTGTTGTTTCTGTCCTTGTGATCGTCGTCTCCCCGCTGTCTTGTGTTACTCTGGCTGTGCATTCGACAGCCTGTAATAATAGTATTTTAGTAGCGTTTACAGTGCGATAACTTGCGTGGTAACAGTAGCTAGAATAGGTGTAGCTAACGTGCTGTTTGTGTTCTAGGACGACGAGTAGCTAAGCTTGTTTGACATGGGCAAAGATCTGGTCTCATGGGAAGTGTCTGATGAGGAGTATGGTGAGCTTCGCTGCTCATTTGTTCCGGATGCTCCGGTGAATAACTGCGACACAGATACTAGAAGTGATGAATTTGACGAGCCTTGCTGCTCGCTAGTTCAAGATGTGGAGGATGAAGAGTTTGATGAGATTTGTTGTCCGCTTGTCCCTGATGCTGATGATAATGCTGATGCTGATATTGCTGCTGCTGATGATGATGCTGATGAAGCAAAGGACGATAATGATCATAATAAAGTCCCGGATGAGTCTTCCAGTTCCACGAATGATAACGCCAGTAATCGCTTTGCCCTGGTTTCGTACGAACAGGTTAGTGCCATGGCAAAGTCAAGTGTGCCCAAGAACACCAGAAAAAATGGCCTGGGCCGTTTCAATTTGGGACAAGTGAAGATCATGAAGGGATTCAGCACAGTATCCAAACAAAAAAAATGAAAAATGCAGCCGGTCGTCCAATTGTGGAGTTAGACGACATTGAGTTGGTGTGGCTTCTGCAAAGGTTTGTCCTCGAAATCCGTGACGGTGGCGGCCAGGAGTACTGTGCCAAAACCGTTCACGAGATAATGGTTGAGCTGCAGAGAGCTGTCAGGAAAGGGGTCTGACTGCAGCTTCTTTGCTCCTGGGAATTCAAGTCGTTTCAGGACGTAATGGATGGTCTCATGAAGCAATCTGCAAGATTTGGCCAACCAAAGACGAAGCAGGCCCTGGCAATATGGCCTGAAGATGAAGATGTTCTTTGCAAGTCGGGTGTGTTGGGCAGAAGAAACCCAAAGCAGCTTGTGGACACGATGTTTTATCTTGTTGGCAGGAATTTTGCACTGCGCAGCGGAGAAGAGCACCGTGCGTTGCGCTTTGGTTCCACCAGCCAGATCAAGCTGGTGGAGAAGGACGGGGAGCGCCCGTACCTTCTGCACACGGAGGAAGTTTCGAAGAGTTACCAGGGTGGTCTCAAGACCTGGAAACTGACCCCCAGAACGGTCAAAGCCTTCAATAATCCGCAGTGCCCCGAGCGGTGCATTGTCTCACTTTTCAAAACCTACACGAACAAGCGTCCAGATAGCAATGAGTTTTATCTCAAGCCGTTGAGAAAACCAATCACTCTCTCCGCCGAACGTGTGCCACGGTCCTCTACGATGAGGGCATGGACGAGCAGCTGATTAAAGAGCACACAGGTCACCGAAGCCAGCCGTCCGAGCCTACAAGACGACGTCACATAAAAGCGAGATGCGTGCATCTGATGATAACAGACTCAGCATTGGCTGTGCTCACACGGGTAACGATCAACCCAGATGATCACCGTCTGACCAGCTACTGGAAGACCAGATATTTTAACGTCAATTAAAGTTAAGGATCTCCGGACTTTTGTGGGTTAACGAGGTGAAATTCTAACGAATTCTGTCTCAAAACTGGCAAACGACTGTACATGCACATATCGTTTAGTACATAACGACTTCAAATGTTAACGAATTTTTTAAATTTGTTAAATCATTAGAATGAAATGTTCGTGTTACGAATTTGTAGTACGACTATGATTTACGCATGTCGTTGTATTTGGTTCTTGTCTTGTGGAGTCCAGTGTCTGATGTCATGGTCTAGGTGTACGCGCGAGTATGGTGTGATGTGTGACGTTTATGGTATGTGGTGCATGCAAGAGTACGCGTTGTCAGAGTGTGAGGATGTGCTTCCGTCTGTGTGAGAGTGACTGTCAAGTGAATGCTGTACATGCGCAGTGCTAGTTTGGTCTGGGAATGAGAGTCGTGTGTGATTCGTCCATGGTCTGGTTGTCTTGGTCTTGGTCATGTGTTCTGTACGTATTGGTCCCTGATTGGTCGTCTCGATTTGTCGTCGGTTTATTACTGCTTGTTCTTTGTTGTTTTCTTTGAGTCTTTTCCCTAGAGTCTTCCCGTTGTCCTTTTTGTCCTCACAAAGTTTGTCTCTCTCCTCCTGCGCCCTCGTCATTTCTTGGTATAATATAAGAGTATTGAAGATACAATCAAGAGTTTGTGTTGTTGTGTGGCGAGGGCCAGGGGGAGAAGCATTTCCTTTACATTCGTTCATCAGCCCAGATGATCACAGTCTGCCCAGCTAACGTTACTGCATTGCCTTGCCCAAAGCCAGTGCAACACATCAGTGGGGACCGGCAGCGAACCCACTAGAGTCTAGACGCACACGTACGCACACACACACACCACACACGCGCGCACACGTACACGTACACACACGCAAACTCACGCTGGATTAGGTGCCATGCCGCGGAGATTCTACGCCTGGTTGGGGCTGATGTGACCACTATGGAACAACACACACGTACACACACGTACACATGCACAGGGCGTCAGCTTGATTGTTTGGACAATCGAGGTCGGACAATCAACGTGCAAATAATTGGATAAGCAACATATTCGGATAAGCAAGGTATGGCTGCATTATACTCAGGGAAGAACTCATTTTATTGGTCCATTAATTCGCAGATTTTATCCCTCCACAGATATTCCTCACTTCTTTGTATTGGCTATTTTCATTATGTGCCATGAAGTGCAGACAGTAAACAAATAAATAAAATAAATATACTCCAATTTCAGAAATTTTCGGTGCTCAAAATTTTCTTTATGAGAGCAAAAGGCCTGGTTAGAGGTGTACAGAAATTTTAGGTGCAGCAAACCAATTCCCTATTGGATTATGTCTTTTAGTGTTTGTTCGGTTTATTGAAATTTTAGGTATGAAACGGATGCACCGAAAGTACCGAAAATAAAAGTACACCGAAAATGTGTGAGCTTACAGTACTCGATCTGAGTCTCTCTCGGCGTTGTGCCATTGTTACTTTTGCTCCTGGATTTCTCTCGCTGTAACTTTGCTACTACAATTGCTAGTACTCATTTAATAGCTTGTGGGTCGGTGGCACAGTGGATACAGCATATGCCTCCCTCTCTCTCCTTCTTCCTAAACTCACTACTTGTGGGAGGGAGTAGTAAACTACCGATATTTTACTACTCATTCACACGCGCATTTGAATGTTTCAAGTTCCTTCCAGATTTCCTTGTCCTTTGTGGCTTTCGTTTTCAGATAATTTTAGTTCGAGTGACGTTTACTTTTAGCTCGAAAAGAAAAATTACTTCAGCCTGTGTATAATTACAGTATTGTTGGTCGCCGAAGAACTGGGGGGGGGGGGGGGGTCAGCCTCCTAGCCTAGACCGTTCATATTTTCATGCATTAGTCTGTGTGCAGTTAACTCACCGTGTATACTGTATACATTGATATGCTGTGCTTGATGAAAGTCTAGCGTGGTCGTTCTCCGACGCTCTCCGTTCTTCAGTGCCCGACAGTACTGTAGGAAGGGTGCCTGCTCTCCACACCGGAGCTCACGCTTTTCCCCCGGACTCGACTTGACACTTGACTGACTCACGACTCAGCCATCCAGAGCACGCGAGCAGTCCATTGAGCTTTCGACAAAAGCGCGAGCTCCGGTGTGGGGAGCAAATACCTTTGCTATGAAACCATCACCGAAGTCGCTACCACTACTTCGTACTGTGTGTACTTGCGAATTCAAATGAAGAATGCAACTCACGGAATATGCATGAATCTTTCAGCTGCAGCTTCTCCAGCATCATGCAAGGGAACAGGTGCTCGTCCGTAGCACTCATACTCCTCAAACTGTAGAGCTCTGATGGCAGAGAACAGAAGGCGGAAAGAGCAGAAGACGCGAGCTCCAGTAATCGCAGTGCACAATGTCACGTTTGTGAATGTGTCGAACGATCAGCTGTTCCTCAAAATGTCACGGGTTTTCACAAAACGAGATGCAAAAACCACAGTACGTTGCAATGCTATGGCCGCAATGCCCACAGCCCAGCACTGCAAGTGTGGAGCCATATGAAATGCCAGGCATGGACACCGGCGTGCATCACTCGTTTCTTGTAAAACAATGTGCTGTGTACTTATGTGATGGCATTCACCTAACTGTCGCCTGTCTCGCGTGCACGTGTAATATGAACATGCATGATTTGTGTCTTTTCCGTCTTCTTGTTCATCCATGTTTCGACCAGTTACCGTTTTAGTCAAGTCCAAAACCTACCACGCTAGTCGCAGTAAATACCAACTGTAGCAAACATATAATTGTCTACTTTTCCTTTGTGTTTTGCATTCCGGGCACGGAATGGCCGTGATTCCGTATCACGTTGCTCATCGCAGAAGCAGAACTACTTCCTATCTGTCGTGGGGCTGAGACATGCAGACTTTTAAGATGCAAACTAATATTGACACTGTCGATCACATCAACGTGCTTGCTCATCATATGGCAGAAGTGAAATTGTGCATAGCACTGAAGGCTAGGATCCAGAAGAGATCATTCAACAGCTCCATATGAAAATACGGGTACGAGACGAGCACAAGCTAAATACTTGATCGTTTTCTAGGGCTGAGGGCTCGTAAGAACGCTGCCGAAAACCTCGTATTGAACGGTGTACACCTCTCAATTTGTCAGCTGCTCCGATGTGAGTTGTATTTCGCACTCTTTCCGTCACATAGTGATACAAGACTCGTTTCATTGTAGCAACGATTTGGTACCATATCTCTGAGACTACCAGTGTGTCCTTTTCAGTGCCAAGATACAACAAATACTCAAGTCAAAGAGGGGATGAAAAGCATTCGAAGGTGGATGCACTAAAAAAGGAGGGGGGGGGGGAGGAGAGGAAACTAAACCACTGCTATCACAATAGCTGAGCCCTGTCATAGCACAGCCATAGAAGTATTGCAGTGAGTGAATTGAAATAAAGGAGTGCAGCAGCAGCAACAACAACCACAACATCGACGACGACGACAACATCCATAGCAGCCTGAGGTTAGCCATCGTGAGAATAATGATTTATAACTTACTCGGCCATGGCGGCGTCTGGATGCTTCCTACTTCCTCCGCGTCATCGAAATTGTCGCAGTTTGACTTTTGATATAAAACGGGGTATTTACTCACCAGCACTCGTACCACAGGTAAGGAATCGGACATAGGCGATGGTCATCAGTATAGGGTGACGGCAAAGTTCTATTTTCTGTTATTGGAAGCTGGAATTTTTGAACTAGACGCAATTTCTTCGCTGATGTCGCTGCGATGGTAATTTCGACTCGCTGAGATCAGTCAGGCGTTGCAGCCTGCACATTTCTCGTGCTTATGGCCATTCACTCAAGCCTCATCACTGTTTTACCTTAGCTGGGGTGCGAATGACTTCGTGGAACAAGTGGCAGCGCTTGGAGAAACATCGAGGGGTCAGCAAACTAAATGCCTGCAACAGCGGTAAAATTTGTCGCTCTGGCCGAGACACTCAGTACATGATTGCACCTGCAAGAGCCGTGTAGACTCTACATGTAGTGCTAGTGATGCACGCGCAGGTGCCGTACCATGTATACCAGTGAATCAGGGCCGGGCAGTGATGCTGAAAAAGAGGGCGCGCTGGACGTGATAGTACACTTACCTGCATGAGCTGTGAACACACAGCTAAAATAAATGGGCATGCCACGGCTAAAAAAAGTTCATTTCAAGATCGAGGTGATTCCGCCGACGGTAATCAACCGACCTCGCAACGATCTTGTATTCTTGCTAGGCTTCGTAGGTGGTGAAGTAGAAATCATCCAGAGCTAGCAGACGACAAGCATAGCAGCTCTTGTCCTGTGGAGAAAGTCAAAGCGTTTGAGATGAGGCGCGACCAACTTTCAACCTTCCTTGAAATATTTCGGAACGATATTTTTGCGTCCATTGACATCAGCGACGACGAGGACTTCATCTCTGCATGCAAACTCTCAGTCCAACTGTCCTGGAACATTACTCTAGGCTTCAGACTATCATTCTGTGTAATATGTTTTGAATGGCTTAGCTTATGGAGTTGTCAGTAACAAGTGACAAGTTACTAGTCAAACTGCGACAATTTCGATGACGCGGAGGAAGTAAAATGGACAAAGATAAGCAAAAGCACCATGGAGAAAAATGAACACAGAAAGACAGACAGACAGTCAAGCAGACAGATAGATATACACGCACGCACAAATGCTAGTTAGCGTGGGAGGTCAACAACAACACCTTCTCTTCCCGGCCAACTCACACTGACGCCGCTCGACTGCTGGCTTGTGGTGTTGGTGGCTGTTCACGCAATGAAGGAACTCCGCTTCTGAAGAAACAAGACACAGGAAAAGCGGCACTGTTGACTCAAACAGACAGAGAAGCAGTGCCTGAAATTTTTGTTACTGTCAGTGCAGAGCTTGGCCCAAGAAGCTAAGCAAGCAGATCAGTGACATTGCAGTGTAGTAGTCATGATCACTGTGGCTCACAAAGAGTAATCGTGATCACTGTGGCTCATCACGTGACACATTCTCACAACCCGAACCCAGGACATAGGGCACATCTGGACAAGACTAGACAACCGGGTGCCAGCCGACCAGCCAGCCAGCCAGCCAGCCAGCCAGCCAGCCATCAGTCACCTCCACCCATAGTTAACAACGAGCAACTAGCAAGTGTAGATCCACAGAATTGCATGCCACTATCATGTTGTGAAAGAAAAGCCGTCGTCATAAGTGTAGAAAGGCAGAGCTGTCAAGTTGTTCAGAGTCTGCCAGCACCCGGCAGTTCTGTATGCATAGAGAACATGAAATGTGTTACATACCTCTCCTGCAGTGCGCTATACCTCTCTGGCTGTTGTAGACTGCCGTAAGGTTGCAATGCAGGGCCAGCCGTATTGTCACCATACCTGGGCATAATGAGAAAGAAAGAAAAAGAGAGAGAGAGAGAGAGAGAGAGAGAGAGAGAGAGAGAGAGAGAGAGAGAGAGAGACAGAGAGAGACAGAGAGCGAGAGACAGAGAGGGAGAGGGAGAGAGAGAGAGAGAGAGAGAGAGAGAAAGAGAGAGAGAGAGAGAGAGAGAGAGAGAGAGAGAGGGAGAGAGAGAGAGAGAGAGGGTGAACGGCATCTAGACAGTCTAGTACACAGCTATGTCGTGAATATGCATCACGAATCCGCGTTACGCTCATTATGTCTTTATTTGTTTATGTGTTACATCATGTTGACGTCATGCTGATGTCTTGCTGCACGCATCGCGTGCACCGTTTTGCAGCTCTCAGCCCGGAGCATGCGCAGCGAGCCTGTCGCTCCTTTTTTGCTGCCTTTTCCCTTTTGCATGCTTCACTTGTCTCAACCTTGTCTCAACTACTAGAACTTGTCTCAAATAAGGTTTTCTGGTGACACTCCTTTTCAAGTCACCTAATCCGTTCAAGTAACAAGTGCAATGTCGTTCCGTGAACCGGAACCCCTCCATATTTGAGTTACCAAGACGTATTTGTGCGTGGCTATCCAAGCTCTCCCACTCAACAGTTCAAAGTTGCGCACACAGCTAGAAGAGACGCATACCAGAAAAGGGCCCACTCTGTTTAATTATCTTGTCCCTGGTGACACAATAGCCTTTTAAAACGACACAGAAAATTTGTGATGCGTCCGAACTGCATCTGTGGCATCCGAGCCCTCTTCGCACATTGGATGCATCCGAACCCAGGCGGGTAGGTCGTGTTTAATCAGGGTAGTCTGGTCATTACACCAGCAAATGGCCGTCAAATGTACTAAAAAGTCAAAATAGCGGATATGAGGTTGCCGCCGGTGGTACATGGCTCGCACATCACAGATGTGCGAGCCACGTACCCGGAGCCCTCTGGGCACACTGGGTGCATCCTTTTGATGATAGATAAATTGTACGCCATCCTATACACACCTGTTGGGAGTGCAGCGTCCTGCTGTCTGGGCTGGCACCGCTGCTGCCATTGCCATGGCTCCAACGCTTGGTGAAGCACCACGAGACGGGGTACGAACGCCATCGTTCACTTCGCCATACAGGCTGTAGGGGGAGCTGCAGTGTGAACACAAAGTGAGCAACACCGAAGGAAGATCTTTGCTTGTATCAAGCTCTCGCAATTTTTCCTAATCCGCCTGTGTGTGTGTGTGTGTGTGTGTGTGTGTGTGTGTGTGTGTGTGTGTGTGTGTGTGTGTGTGTCTTTCTCTCTGTCTCTGTCTCTCCCTCCCTCCCTCTTTCTCTGGTATACGTACACTCTACACCCTACATACATACACACATGAGCATGCGGCACTGTCATCTACACAAAGACAAGTTCAACTCTAGATGGGCGGATACATGCAAATCAAAAGCACACAGGCTGGTGACATACTCTGATACGGACTTGTTCTGGTTCATGTCTTGCAGTGCGTCATACACTGCTGGCAGGTGAAGACTTCCGTAAGCTTCTGCTGGAGGGGCAGCCGCATTGTTCTCCGGTCTGGTCGTGACAAGAACAGCATGTCCAAAACATGAACCATGAATGCACCCCTGATGTCACGTATAAAGGCTAGGCTTATGCTGTAGAGGCCAATATCAGGGCTAGGCTTCTATTCAAACTAGGCATTCTATGTATGTGTATGTCAACACGAAAACCAGGCGTATGTGCCGCCAGTGCATCTTGAGTATCAAGCTTGTATTCAAAACAGGCTGCTGTACAAGGCAGGCTATTATACAAGACACTGCGGCACTCATGGGGATCTGAAGCGTCCGTGCACACCTAACAATTTGGATATCTTTCGCACGGCTATCAGTTCGATGTGCTTGTAAAGTGCTGCACATAATTATATCATATCCACCGGCCAGTGTCGTTACTCTTTGGCTTGCCACATGCATGGTGCACAGCCATTAGGCCTAACTCCAGCGCATACTGCAGCTGAAACTGGTCCAGCAAAATGTAGCACAAAGACACAATCATACTATTCATACGATGATTTTGCATCTCCTGTTCGCAATCAATTCATTGTTTGCTACTAAAAAAAGTGTCCTGACCAAGCTCCGGCCAAAGCAGAAGCAGCAGGATAGGCTACTACACGTCTGTATGATCTGTAGGCAATACACCATGACATGGTGATGATCATACCAGTAGCTGACATGGCACTGCGAACGCAGTTCTGTTGTACGGACAAGCCGGCCTGGACAGTGAAGACACGGACAGGCGATCTCTACAGCGTACGCTGAACAGACATTGTACTTACGTGCGCGCTGTCAAGTAGCCACTCACGGAAACGCCGTCGGCATTCGAGCCGCAGCGGCTCAGGTGAGAGTAGCTGAAACAGGCAGGCACAAAACACAATCGACAATACACAGTGCACAGTGGCAGAGTATCAATCATACAGGCTGAGCGCGGATGTGAACACAGCCGACTCCTGATATAACGAACACCATTGTACAGGAGAATTAGTTCTTTATAGCCAAAGTTCGTTTTGCACAGAATTGCACTCACACTATACAAGCAGCAAGGCATGGCTGGAGTGTACTTGGTTCACATGCCGCCCTACAAGGTGTGGTGCACCGCGCACACTTGACTCACTTGATCGGCTTTCATCGAGCAGCACTGTAAATCGTTTTTTTTAACCTGGACGCTGTCTTCAAGGACATATATAAATACTCTTCTCTAGCAAATGATCTGTACTCCATCATCAGCTTACATAAATATAGCTATAAATATAGCAAGTGCTACATTAGTGCAAATTTAACTCGGTTACTGAGCCAATAAATATAATCAAAATAGAAAAAATCACATGAATAGTGGATGGTTGCTTCATAACTCGTTTCCATGTGATTTCTTCTATTTTAGCTACATTAGTGCCTTACGTTTCCTGTGGGTTAAGTCCGCTGTTGTTGTCACTGACAGGTATCATCCAAATATACAGGTACAGCCGGTCACAGCCGAAAGAAACCACGGCAAACAAACACACACATGCACACACACACATACACACACACCAACACGCACGCATGGACACAACTACAGATTATGGGCAATAAGATAACCGACGAGCAGGAGCTCAAGAGCAATGGTCAAATCGGGGGGGGGGGTGCTTACTCGGTATATTGTGCACCCGCTCTTGATTTCCAGTTGTGTTTGCAGGCTAATAACGTTATCCCTGTGAGCCAACCTGATTCTGTCGATCAGGCGTACCGGGTAAAGTTAGAACGTATGGCACGGGCGGTCTTGTGTGAAAGCCTCACGGGCATCGCGGCTTTCAGGTTGCAATCCCTGTCCGACGCCCAGAGAGGGGGGGGGGGGGATTGCGAAATCCTGACTTAAATTGCATGCATGTGTATACTGTACTAGAGTGAGCAAGACCTGTAACTGCTTCTCAGCCGATCAAAATCGGATTCCAAAAGAGGTGTCCCAAATTGCTTTCCAACAAAAAAATCGGTGACGAATACCATATTATTCTCCGGAGTATAAGCCGCACCCAGATTTTTCAGTCACGAAATACAGACATCTACCCTGTATTTGGGCACCCTGTAAGGGCCGATTTCCACTACGGTCCCGTGAGTGCCGTGCCGTGAGTACCCATGGTGATTTGCTCACGTGAGGGGCAGTTTTGTTGCGAGTTCATTCCGTGGCTCCTGCCGTACCGCGCCGTGGACATTCCGGTGCCGAGGGCCTCTGGGGGGGGGGGGGGGGGGGGGGGAGGGGTGGAAATGGCATGCCGTGGTATTCCGTGGGGTCGAATGCAGTGAGTAGTAGGTATTTTACTACTCCCTGACATGAAGTTTTTTCTTTCTTTTCATGCTTACGGTTTTCGTGGCGTTGAAGGCGGTGGGTGAGGCTGAGCAGCACTCATAAACCTTTCGGTTGCATTGCTGCAGCGGTGCACAGGAGAGAACGAATCAACACAGCATTATCACCGTCAGACTGATGTCACGACTGCAGCACTGGCTGGCCCGAGAGGAGTGAACTAAACCTGGCCTACTAACTTACTGCCATGTTCGGAAACTTCACTTCTCAACTCCAAAACGGTCTCTTCACTGCGATTCAAATGAAATTAAGATTTACATTACACCAAATGTTCGGGTCTGGTCCATCGTTTTGGAGTTGAGAAGTGAAGTTTCCTTAATGTGTTAGTGGCTGCGTTGGAGTTTGCGGAAAATTAGAAGGGTTTACTACTGTTATGTTTGGGGAAATCTGGCTGGATTGGGGAAATCTGGTTGGATTGGGGAAATCTGGCTGGATTGGGGAAATCTGGCTGGATTGGGGAAATCTGGCTGGATTGCCATCCGCTAGTACACGGCTAAACGGCATACAGTTGAACCCCGCCTAAGACGCACGCGCGCGCTAGCACCCACATCCACTCATGCACGCCCAAGCACACATAGCCCTCCCTCCCTCCCTCCCACTTCTCCTTTCCAGACACACATTGAACAAGATGACACCAGCGCACACGAGACAAACTGACCGAGGTGATCCCGATGCCAGCGCCTGATATGCCGCCGCCTGCAGATCCGTGGCTGTACCCGATCCGCTGGGAGAATCAGATTTCAGCAGCACAGAGAGTAGAAAACACCAATGGTCCGCACAAGTCGGTAGACAACACATGGACTGGCAGACAGAAATTTGAGTAGAATCCACAGATCCTCACAACATACAGGGCTCTAGCCAAAGGAGGGTAAGTTAGGAGGACGCAGCCACCCCCCCCCCCCCCCCCCCCACACACACTCACTCTAATCGAGCGACCCCTGAGAAAATGTGCCCTTCCCCCCCCCACTCATTTGTCGATTTTTCAGGCAATTCAATGAAAATGCAGTGGCTAGTCGCAAACAGAGTGTTCATAAAGGCGCACTCGTATGGGTGAAGTCGGCGATTCGCTCCCATACATTGCATTTTGCAGGGCAAGACAATTTTGGAAAATGGAAAAATGGGTTACGGAGCACCCGTCTCCCCTGCCCCCCACTATTTGGACCTGGCTAAAACCCTGACATACAAGCAATGCTGGACTACTTGAGGATTGCAAATAGCCAAACGGGCTAACCGAGGAAGCATTGTCTAGAAAAAATGTCACTACTCGTGCTCTTCAGGGTGCTGGGTCGAATGGTCTTGGTCCGATGAAGCTGAGACGCTTCCTTCCTCCTTTATTCCCAATAGTACTCGCGCACTTTCACCAAAACTGGCTGACTGCGCCCTACTAGACGGGGATTTGTATGGAAAATGTCACTAAAACCGCCATTTCGTTCTTATAAAAGTACGTATGACCGCGATTGGCCCATACGTTGTAGTCTTTCGGATGCCGAGTTGACTGTTTTTGGTCCGAGAAGACGGCGATGCAGCGTTCAGCTCTTATTCCCAATCGAACACCAGGGTTCTAGCCAAAGGGGGGTAGGGGGGCGCCGTGCCCCCTACTCCATTTGCCCCCTGTGAAATAGTGCCGCCCCTTCTCATTTTCCGATTTTTGTGTTTTTTTTTCACGCCATTCAACGAAAATACAGTCGATAGTCACTACTAGAGGGTTCATCAAGGCACATTTGTGAGGGGTGAAGTCGGGGATTCACCCCGTATGTTACATTTTGCATGGCAAGACAATTTTGGACAATGGAAAAAATGGGTCATGGGTAACTTTTCCCATGCCCGCCCCCCTACTATTTTGACCTGGCTAGAACACTGGAACACGGTTGAGAAAGCGGTCATGTGCCGATCCGTACACTAGTCACCTGATCACCATGCCTGCGGGCTACAACTCACAGCCTGTTAGCGCGCATTCCTGTCACTCCAGTTGAGCCTCGGTGTGAAGGTTGTAGCCTACAGCCTACAGCATTTCATACGTAGTGTCCATACCGCTGAAGTAGAGTTTTTTTTTTTAAAGAAAAGACAAGTAATGGAAGAAAGAGAGGTAGAGAGTAGTCTTCTTCAAGGTTTTTCCTTAGTTCGGTTTTGGAATTCTGTGGCCATGAGGCGGAGGCCCGAGTAGATTACAAGGCGCTGAATCGTACGTCAACCGCCGATTGCCTTCCAAGTGCACGTCGAACTCTATCCCCTGGAGAAGAGGACGGCGTGTATAGCGCCAGCTATCTGCTTGACAAGCGACGTCACTTCTGGTCCGAGTTCTGTACAGCCGATCATCTCGCGCAGTGCCTACGTGTACACATGTACATGCTGCACGCGAGGCATGGATCCACAAAGGAAAGTCTTCAATGGATCCACAAAGGAAAGTCTTCAATGGATCCAGAAAGGAAAGTCTTCAATGGATCCACAAAGGAAAGTCTTCAATGGATCCACAAAGGAAAGTCTTCAATGGATCCACAAAGGAAAGTCTTCAATGGATCCACAAAGGAAAGTCTTCAATGGATCCACAAAGGAAAGTCTTCAATGGATCCACAAAGGAAAGTCTTCAATGGATCCACAAAGGAAAGTCTTCAATGGATCCACAAAGGAAAGTCTTCAATGGATCCACAAAGGAAAGTCTTCAAGCTGCTGGTCCAACTGAACAGCTGCAGCTATGCTCAACATCTTGTAAAGTGTAATGGAAACCATGAAGGACTGAGAGGCCACACTGGCATTCAATGGGAGTAATGCTCCTCCTTGGATTCGGCATACATGGCGGACATCTTTGAGATGAAATCCTCTCCACTATCGTCCATTTCATATGTACCGGCATTCACTGGGAGGAATGCTCCTTTTTGGATTCGGCATACACGGCGGACATCTTTGAGATGAAATCCTCTGCAGTATCGTCCATTTCATATGTACCGGCACTCACTGGGAGGAATGCTCCTTCTTGGATTCGGCATACATGGCGGACATCTTTGAGATGAAATCCTCTGCAGTATCGTCCATTTCATATGTACCGGCACTCACTGGGAGGAATGCTCCTTCCTGGATTCGGCATACACGGCGGACAACTTTGAGATGAAATCCTCTACAGTGTCGTCCACTTCATATGCAGTATCCATAATGTAGACATTAATGATGGAGACGAAACTTGGTTGAACTACACACTACTGCACTAGTAGTGTGGAATGCGGGATCATGGCAGATTAGCAAATATACTAATCGAACGAGGAGCTAATCCCAAGTTGCAGATCCCCCGGGGAGGATGGAGTCCGCTTCACATGGTAGCCTACAGGAACCATACCAGCGTTGTCAAGGTGATGCTGTCACATGACAATGACGGTGTCACCTTGGATACTGCACTGCTTACCAATAACGGAAAACAGTACTGAGTACAGAGTCAGTACTCTCACAACAGTCAGTAGCAGCTCGCCTAGGCCGAGCGCCTGGACTTGTAAAAATTAATTTTGTAAGTCTTCAATCATGTTTGCATGTACGCGCTATCCAGCCATGTGGCGTGAACAGATTGCTTGACGTGAAAGGTAGCGAGTCGTACGCGGACGTGTCTGACACATGAAACGAAAAGATTTTTTTGGCGGGTAGTCAGCAAAAAATTAAGTGACGGTCCCTTTAGTCCTTCGCGTCACATGACAGTGACGGTGTCACCTTGGATACTGCACTGCTTACCAATAACGGAAAACAGTGCTAGACATTGCAAACGATCGGAAGCATGAGGGATGTGTGAAATTGTCCCTTTAGTCCTTCGCGTCACATGACAGTGACGGTGTCACCTTGGATACTGCACTGCTTACCAATAACGGAAAACAGTGCTAGACATTGCAAAAGATCGGAAGCATGAGGGATGTGTGAAATTGCTGCTGGAACACGAGAGTGACAAGTCTCCATGCATGCAGACAGACAGCCTTCAAATTCTCACCCTAACTTGTGGCAGCCGTCCTTCACTAGCCGCGGTCGCCCGCCATGCTCACGATGTTCCCTGGTGCACCCAGGTGTCCATGCCCGGTGCCCCTTTCGACCAGGGCTTCCATCCGTCGGCGCTGGGAGGGGAGTCACACTACAGTCCAGCACGCCAACCCATCTTGATTCTTGAGAAGAAAGACCTGCCGCAATTTCACCGAGGACCAGTGCAACAATTCCTTCTGCTGCCGTGCCTGCGTGCGCCTCCAACGCAGTGGAAAGCACTCAGAAACCGAATGCGGTAGGGATCAGCGCGCCTCCTCAGTGCCTGCTCTGTAAGCACTCTGTGGACACCCGCGTCAACGTTTGCCGATTAGCCCGGCTCCTAACCCTTCATTCTGATCGCTCCTTCTCTCAACTTTGCATGTAGTCCGTGGGCACTTTGTGTTTTTTCATGCCATTCAAAGAAAATGTTTCCCTGCCAGCCCCCCCCCCCCAGCCCTATAATTTTTACCTGGCAAGAACCCCCTGCTGGCGCATGTACAGGTTTCCCGTACGCACGGCAGGGCTTGCCGTCTTTTCCAGTTTCCATGCCTGCGGACAGCTTTCAAATTCTGCCCCACCCTCCTCATCCCATGTCTCACTCTTACACTATACTCAACATCACCTAATTCTCAGTCAATATCCCAATTCTCTTTCACTACAGTACCGTCGGGCACCGAAGAACGGAGTGCCAAAGAGCGACCAGGCTAGAACTCCATCAAGCACAGCATACCAATGTATATACGGTGACTCAACCGCGCATGACAAAAGAGTAGTAATACCGTAAAATTCCGTAAATAAGCCCACCCTAAATAACGCCCATGTCCGATAATAAGCCCAGTTTTAGGCGGTGTACACTTCAAGTCCGTTTTAGCGCCCATGCCCGAAATAAGCCCAGGGCGTAAAGTGGACTCAAAATGACCAGCGCGCGAGCGTGCGTTCGCGTACAAACTGTAGAACAGTTGTAGATCGAGTGCGTTCACTCCAACTGCACGCAGCACAGTGCAGAACTCAACACTGTCACGGCGCGCGAGGACAGCGATGTTCCGTTGGAATGTAGCAAACTGCCAAAAAATGTAGCAAAACATGTCGCCTGCCAACTAGTGGGTTGCTGATAGATTGATCTTCTGCAGATTGCGTCCGAAATAACGCCCATGCCCTAAAATAAGCCCATGCCCAAATATACGCCCGGTTTTTGACGCTCTGCAAAGTATACGCCCGGGGCTTATTAACGGAATTTTACGGTATTTCCACTGAAACTCACCCAAAGGGTGCCCCGAGAAATAAAGGGCCTGTAATTTCGGGGTCCGGATAACCGCGATATGAGAGTACTTAGAAAAACTCTCTGGTTTGCGATGACTTACTGTTGACCATGGCTGCGGTTGAATGTGTCGCGTGAAGGCTTGCTGTAGGATGGTTTCTGTGCGGCGGTCTGGCCTGATAGACCGGGCGTAGGGACGATGACAGTTGCTGATGATACGAGATGTGTGGGCTGGGTTGTGCTACTGCAATACACACACGCACGCACGCACACACACACACACACACACACACGCGCGCACGCGCACGCGCACGCGCACACACACACACACACAAGGAGCAGAACTAGTCTTCAAGTTGACTTTTTAAAGACCCTACATCACTCTGAAGAAGACAATCATCGGAACGGTAAATATGAATCGGTATCATCATCAACAGGTGTAGTTTTGCTCCTGCTGTGTGGTCCGGCTATCTGCCGTTGCATTAGAGCATAGGCAGAGGTTTACAACATATCTGATATGCAAAAAAACAACGTCAAATTTAAAACATCAACAATCCCTCTGGGCGTCCTCTCGCGGAAAGGTTTCAAAATTTAGAGACCAAATCATCGCATTTCGATGCCGCAAATAGTGTGTGGTGTGTGTATGTGTGTTTGGTGTGTGTTTGGTGTGTGTTTGGGGGGGGGGGGGGAGCAAAAGTACAGTCAAGACTCCTATACATGGGGGGGCAGAAGTCCTAAAAGTGGGGGGGGGGGGCAAAAGTACACAGTCAAGACTCCTAAACATGGGGGGGGGGGGGCAAAATTTCACGGTCAAGACTCCTAAACGTGGGGGGGGGGGGAAAGTACGCAGTCAAGACTCCTATACAGGGGGGGGGGGCAAACGTTCACGGTCAAGACTCCTAAACGTGGGGGGGGGGGGGATGTTCACGTTCAAGACTCCTAAACGTGTCTGTGTGTGTGGGGGGGGGGGGGGGGTACGCAGTCAAAGACTCCTAAACAGGGGGCGGGGAGTACCCACTCAAAACTCCTAAACGCAGGTGGGGGGGGGGCAACATTACGTCGTCAAGACTCCTCGTAAGTAAACATGGGGGACAAAGTTCACAGTCAAGACTCCTAAACGTGGGGGGGGGAGGAAACAGTCAAGACTCCTATACATGGGGGGGGGGGCAAAAGTACACAGTCAAGACTCCTAAACATGGGGGGGGGACAAAAGTACGCAGTCAAGACTCCTAAACAGGGGGGGGGGGCAAAGGTTCACGGTCAAGACTCCCTAGTAAACGTGGGGGGGGGGGGGATGTTCACGTTCAAGACTCCTAAACGTGGAGGGGGGGGGGGGGGCAAAAGTACGCAGTCAAAGACTCCTAAACAGGGGGTGGGGGGAGTACACACTCAAGACTCCTAAACGCAGGGGGGGGGGCAGAAGGAGTAAGCAATAAAAAAAAAACCCTAAACGTGAGGGGAGGGGGCAAACGAGAAGCAGTGTGTGCTTGCTTACATGAAAAAAAGGTTAAACAATGTTTCCGCTCGGGTTGGAACCGAGGACCTTGTGCGTGTGAAGCACACGTGATAACCACTACACTACGGAAACACCCACATGCTATCAAGGTACCAGTTGTTCTGCACATACATACAGCTTGATACTTGGGGAAGGTTGGGCACATGTAGTACGTGCTCACTTTGTATGTGAGGCCATGTTCCTATGTCGTGTAAAGTGTGTCCGCCTGTTGCTGCGCTACAAGAGACATTTCGAACTTTACAAAGAAGTCGGAACGAGGACTTGCTTTTGTAGTAGGCATGCATCTCAATTTCATGCCATGCGATCATCACTAGTAGAAATTAATAAGAATAAAAAATTAAATTAAATAAATCACGTGAGTTTTTCCCTGATGATCGATCGTATGTCGTGATGCCTAGGTTGCCAGCACAACCTCATTTTGAAATCGTTGTAGAGAACCTCCGCTCATTGTGCTATCAGGCACTGTCACGGTGGGCAGGCGAAGAATCAGTGGCTACAGTGGGGCTTTCAGATGTGAAAGGAATTTGTACCTGATTCAAAGGTCAGTTGGTGAGCACCCTTGAAAGGTCCAGGCGCCCGTATAGCCGTGGTTGGCTATAAAAACCCTGCAATCACCACGCAAAGTGATCATTGGCTACCCCAGCCACGTATTGCTTGGAATAAAATAAATAAATGAGAGTCAGACTCTTGCATTGCTACACACCAGTACATGTACTGGCTACTAGTAGTATGCAGCCACTACTCCCCCCCCCCCCCCCCCCTTGCCACGTTAACATCTCTGTTCTCAGAACCACTCCTGTGTTCACAGTTATCAACAAGAGCTGTTGAACACATTAGACCCCCCCCCCCTTCCTACACACACATACCTATAAAAAAAACCTAAAGTGAAGTACTGGTATGGTGCGCTGGGAAATCAGCAAACACAAGGAGACAGGCATTCCTTGGATGCTGTTCGAGCCAATCTAAGAAAAAAAAGAATCGCAATGGGGGTTCAGCTCAAGTGGGGTTTGAACCTCCAACTGCGCTTTGCATGTGGGCTTGAAGATTGCCAGAAATGAAGAAACAAAAGAAAGAAAAAAAGCATACCGCAGGGGCTCGAACCTGCAAAGTTATGAACTAAAAGCTCACGTGAATACCATTACCCTATACAGCAGGTGATAGAGAATGTGGCGGAATTTGATGTAATCTACTATAGGCATACTTGTGGGATATCGGTTTCTTGAGGGGCTTTCACGGCAAAGGATACAGGATGCTTTGCCAGCGGGAAAGAACCAACCCAGCACAGGTGCCCTAACTGGGAAAACGGAAAGAAATGCTGGCTACATCACAGTGCCCTACAAACACACTGACTGTGTCAATCAACTCACAATGCAGAGCAGGCTTCCTAGCTTCTTTCCAACTTTTCTTCAAAACAATGATCTTCCAACACATATTACTGATCAGGATGGACAAGGTTTGAGAGACCAAACGTGATGGAAAACCCAAACTTCCCCAAAATATTATTGAAAAGAAACACAACTCTTGTCAATGAAGGAAGCAAAACCATGTAATGATCAAGCTGAATTTGAGGGAGTGTGGAGTAGTCAAGACTCAGGCATGGGGGGAGGAAACAGTCAAGACTCCTATACATGGGGGGGGGGCAAAAGTACACAGTCAAGACTCCTAAACATGGGGGGGGGGGGGAAACGTTCACGGTCAAGACTCCTAGACGTGTGGGGGAGGGGGGGGGGGGGGAGCAAAAGTACGCAGTCAAGAAGTCCTAAACAGGGGGGGGGGGAGCAAAAGTACGCAGTCAAGAAGTCCTAAACATGGGGGGGGAGCAAAAGTACGCAGTCAAGACTCCTAAACATGGGGGGGGGGAGCAAAAGTACGCAGTCAAGACTCCTAAACATGGGGGGGGGAGCAAAAGTACGCAGTCAAGACTCCTAAACATGGGGGGGAGCAAAAGTACGCAGTCAAGACTCCTAAACATGGGGGGGAGCAAAAGTACGCAGTCAAGACTCCTAAACAGGGGGCGAAGGAGTACACAGTCAAGACTCCTAAACGCGGGGGGGGGGCAAAAGTACACACAGTCAATACTCCTAAACGTGGGGGGGGGGGCAGAAGGAGTAAGCAATAAAAAAACTCCGAAACGTGAGGGGAGGGGGCAAACGAGAAGCTGTGTGTGCTTACATGAAAAAGGGTTAAAAAAAAGTTTCCGCTCGGGTTCGAACCGAGGACCTTGTGCGTGTGAAGCACACGTGATAACCACTACACTACGGAAACACCCACATGCTATCAAGGTACCAGTTTTTCTCCAAATACATACAGGTTGATACTTGGGGAAGGTTGGCAGGCGAAGAATCACTGGCTACAGCGGCGCTTTCAGATGTGAAAGGAATTTGTACCTGATTCGAAGGTCAGTTGGTGAGCACCTTTGAAAGGTTCAGGTGCCCGCATAGCTGTGGTTGGCTATAAAAACCCTGCAATCACCACGCAAAGTGATCATTGGCTACCCCAGCCATGTATTGCTTGGAATAAAATAAATAAATAAATAAATGAGAGTCAGACTCTTGCATTGCTACACACCAGTACGTAAAGTACATGTATTGGCTACTAGTAGTACATGTAGTATGCAGCCACTACCCCCTCACCCCACCCCCCACACCCCTTGCCACCATGTACTGCTTGTTCCCTCTCTCTCCGGTACAGTAGCAGGCATGTGTCTCAAAGAGGCAATACTGATGACAAACACATGTATCCCAAAAAAACAACAATTTTGTTAACATCTCTGTTTTCAGACCCACTCTTGTGTTCACAGTTATCAACAAGAGCTGTTGAACACATTAGACCCCCCCCCCCCCACACACACACACATACCTAAAAAAAAAAACCTAAAGTGAAGTACTGGTATGGTGCGCTGGGAAGTCAGCAAACACAAGGAGACAGGCATTCCTTGGATGCTGTTCGAGCCAATGTAAGAAAAAAAAAGAATCGCAATGGGGGTTCAGCTCAAGTGGGGTTTGAACCTCCAACTGCGCTTTGCATGTGGGCTTGAAGATTGCCAGAAATGAAGAAAAAAGAAAGAAAAAAAGCATCCCACAGGTCTCGAACCTGCAGTTATGCACTAAAAGCTCACGTGAATACCATTACCCTATACAGCAGGTGATAAAAAATGTGGCGGAATTTGATGTAATCTACTATAGGCATACTTGTGGGATATCGGTTTCTTGAGGGGCTTTCACAGCAAAGGATACAGGATGCTTTGCCAGCGGGAAAGAGCCAACCCAGCACAGGTGCCCTAACTGGGAAAACGGAAAGAAATGCTGGCAACATCACAGTGCCCTACCAGGAGGTCTCTACATACACACTGACTGTGTCAATCAACTGACAATGCAGAGCAGATGCTCAAGCTTCAAGTCCTAGCTTCTTTCCAACTTTTCTTCAAAACAATGATCTTCCAACAAATATTACGGATCAGGATGGATAAGGTTTGAGAGACCAAACATGATGGAAAACCCAAACTTCCACAAAAGATGATGGAAAATTCAAAAGAAACACAACTCTTGTCAATGAAGGAAGTAAAACCATGTAATGGTCTAGCTGAATTTGAGTGGGGAGTGTGAAGTAGTTTATGATTGCTGAAAAGAAAAAGAAAAAAATGTTTCCGCTCGGGTTCAAACCGAGGACCTTTTGCGTGTGAAGCACACGTGATAACCACTACACTACGGAAACCCACACACAACTAG